GACTTTCAATGACAGTGATCAAAATAATTTATACAGCTCAAAATACTTCCCTTTCTTTCTGAAATAAGCGTATGTCTAGAATTTATGAGGATGCTGTGCCAAACCTTTGGCAGGTATAAATCAATCTGGCTTCACTGAGGTTGATTGATGTCAGGAGAAGATCTGCTCCTGCATTTAGATGCTGGCCTGCAGAGCACAGCTTGACTTGTTTTCTTTTTCTTAACTCCAAGGCGTGATCATTGAACTCCTTTGGGCACAATTTTCACTTCTTAGTCAAAAATGCACCTCAGCATTTAGACTGGACTTAAAACCAGTGCACATCTGATAAAAATCAAAGTAATCATTTCACAAAGAACAAATCCAACCAAAAACTTCAAAGCTGGGAAATCAGTTGTTCAATACCACGTTAGTGGTTGCATTCAGTGTCACAGAAACTGATGCAAGCAGAAGCAAGCTGCAGTTCAGCTCAATCATTTCGTATTTATTTGCCTTTTACGGCCACTAGATGATAGTATAGTAACACATGGACATCTCAGCAGCATGACAGGTCTTCATTTGCTGAATTCTTGATTGTATTCATACTTTTATATGTAAAGAATATACAGAAGGCATCAATACTACACAGATAGCCTTTCAATAGCAGTGGTTAATTTAATCCCCATTGACTTTATACATTAATATACCCAAAGAGTAGTAGATATTATTAGCTACAGACTCAAACTGGGCTTTATTTAGGAACAGACATGATGCTGAATTTTTTATCTCCCTCTATTTTTGTAGATACTCATCCAGAGCTATGGTGAGATGCTGATAGAAAAGGGCAGGATAATTACATTTCCCTCCCAGGAAGCACAAGAATGGCTGGAGGTAACATTTACATTCCTGTCATGGGCAGCTTGCTCACTGCTGGTTCTGCACATCTGTTTTCTGCTTCTCCCACCTTTTCCATTTCTCCCCCCCTCAAGAGGATTCCGCTCCTCCTCCAGCTGAGAAGCTCCAGGCTAGGAGACATGCAGCCAGAACAACACCTTGAGCACACAGATATCTTCCTCTCCACAAAACCTTTCTCTCTCTTAGTTCACATGCTTTGTTGTCTCCTAATGCAAAAAATAAAAAAATAAAAACAAACTGTTCACTCTTTCACTGTAATAGTCAAAACCCTCCAATGGTGCATTTTTTTCCCTAAGTAAATCTTAAGACTCCACAATAACAAGGTCTGTTCTCCTTTCAGTATCTAGTATGCATCTTCCCAGCCCAGAATATGCACCCCAGGGATTGGCCAAGTGGCTGGCTCCAGACCTGCATATTAACTTTCAGGTCACATTTCCAGATGCCACAGTAGACAAAGGAAAAGTCTCCTGTTCTGTAACCTGTAGCAGACAGGTTGAGTGACATGAGTCTATTGGCACCACAAGACAAATGGAAATAGAAAGGCAGAACCCACGGTGAAAACAGACTGACTCTTGGGATGTACTCATGCAAATGTTTATACAGAGAGGTAAGTGAGCAAAATATCTGAAAACAAAAGCTAAAGGGAAGCTGCCCAAAAAGTGTGAGGAGTAGAGTAGTATCGAATCATCAGGCTGTAGGCTAATGTGTCTACTCAAAGATTTAACTCAGCAATAGCACAAGTCGCTGGCTTTTTCATAAAAATTGGAGCTGGGTATAGATCTAGGGAAAACCTGGAATTTCCATTTTGCTGCATATTTGGTTACTTTTACATCATTTTGTTTTAATTCAAGATGAAGGTAAATTTGTAAGATTTTCATATTTAAAATACTTCTATGAGTTCTACATTAATTTAATGAATGGACATCTGTAATACAGCACATAAGCTGCTAGTTACATGTGTAACACTGAAATGAGCCATTTTCATTATTACTAAGAACATCTACTTCATGCTGATTGAACAGACTATTGCTTTGTAGAGTGTTTACCGTGCCACATCAGTTCCAGGAGAAACTGATTCAAGCATCAAACTCAATATTTGGACTAACGAGAACTTTGAAAGATAACTTGTTCCAATTGGAATCTAAGACATAAAGAATAAAGTAAAATATTTCGGCCATTACACTGAATATTTTAACTGACATGGTGTAAAACACTTTAACAATAGTATAAAAGTCAAATCCCTTTACAGGTCAAAGTGAAGCTTCAGAAATCAGAATTGGAATTCCTAAAGAAAATGTCTTTAAAAATGTCTGCTTTGAAATTTCTTTGTCCATGCTGAAATTTCATCTTATTTTACACTAAAAACATATTTAATCTCACTTTCCATTTTTTAAAAAATTGCTTAATAATAATGAAAATATAAACATCTGCTACTTTATAATTCATATTTGAGCTGGCATATCCAGAGCTTCTGTAAAATGACGCAGCTCATTTTCCTTGTAGCAATAAGGATGGTCTATATCTCATGTATAAATACTAAATTTTGCAGCTCTGCTCTGTGACTGAAGACAGTGTAAAATCCACAGCCAGGCAGGAGTTCTGTGGCTAACCTGCAACCTGTCATGAAACAGTGTTTTCAGAGAGTCATATAAGCTGTCAGCATGCAGTGAGGGCTAGCTGGTCCACAGGGGATGACAGACTGGGAGCTGAGCGTGCTAAGGAAGATAATGAATGGTCTCAAGTTGGTCCCCCTCAACCAGGGGAGGTTCCACTCACCGGGTGAGGAACTGGTTGGATAGTCACAGAGTTGCAATAAACAGCTCAGTGTCAAGTGGAGACCAGTGACGAGTGGTGTTCCTCAGGCTTCGGTGCTGGGACCAAATGCAAGGTCCTGACCAAGCACAAATAAAAACCGGGCAGAGAATGGCTTGAGAGCAGCCTTGAGGAGAAGGATCTGGGAGGTGCTGGTTGATGAAAGACTCAACACGAGCCATCAAAGTGCACTTGCAGCCCAGATGGCTCACTGTATCCTGTCTTGCATCTTGAGAAGCATGACCAGCAGGTCAAGGGAGGTGATTCTGTCACTCTACTCTGCTCTCATGAGACTCCACCTGGAGTACCGCGTTCAGTTTTGAGGCCCACAAGGCAAGAAGGACATGGAGCTGTAGGAGTGGGTCCAGATGAGGGCCACAAAGATTATCAGAGGGCTGGAGCACTTCCAATACAAAGACAGGCTGAGAGAGCTGGGAGAGGAGTATGATTTGAGAAGACCTTAGAGTGGCCTTCCAGTATCTGAAGGAGCCCTCGTAGAAAACTGGGACGGGGCTTTTTACAAGGGTAGTGACTAGATGAGGGGAAATGGCTTTAAACTGGAAGTGGGTAAACTTACATTAGATATTAAGAAGAAATTCTTTACTGTGCCTGTGGTGAGACACTGGAACAGGCTGCCCAGAAAGCCTGTGGATGTCCCCTCCCTGGAAGCATTCAAGGCCAGGCTGGATGGAACTATAAGCAACCTGGTGTAGAGGGAGGTGTCCCTGCCTATAGCAGAGGGTTTGAAACCAGCTTGTCTTAAAGGTCCTTTCCAACCCAAACCATTCAATGATTCTATGATCAGGGTGAGGCATTATCTGGTGATCTGCTGGGAAGATGACAGTGACAAGGCAGCTTGATCCCAGCCAGATATATGGTTCACCAAGTTGGCTCTTAGAAGAGGAATGCATGCCTGGCTCTGACATCAGAGAACAACAATACAACCTTAGCATTTAATGTGGGCAATAGGTGAGGAATGTATTTTATGTGAAAAAGTCATTCAAGACCCTGAATGGGTGACTATATATATATTTTAAAAAGATTTTATTGTTTCTTTCAAAGGCAAACTTTTACAGTAAGAGTAAGAAATGTAAGAGCAGTTTGGGAAACCTGTCAGTGCATGTTTGCCATACAGACAAATTCAAAAAGCTTCTGCAGAGCCACGCAGAATGAGTAACGATCTAACAAAGCAGATTTTAATGCAAATGGAAAATGCTCCAAACTAAACTAATTTGCCATGTGACTTTTTCTGATAACAGTAGCTCCAAATTCTACTGAGAGCACCATGCACTTCAGCAGGATTTGCATAGGCTGAGAGCCGCACTAATCATTGATTTCTGCCTCCAGCAATGGCCTGTATATGTGGGTCAGCAACTGGAAGGTGAAAGAGATGATCAAGGGCTCCATCACTTCCAAGCTCTCTTTCTTTCTTGCCCAGTTCCACACAGGGGTAAATATCAGATGTGTCATCTTTGCTTCTTGCAGGATAGCTAGAGATCTTACTTACAGCCTTGCTCCCCTCATCCAGTGAAACCAGAACCGTGGCAGCCAAGAGAATAAAAGAATATACAAGGCTCTAACAATTCATTTGCTTTCCATCTCATGTTTCAAGATTTGCAAAAACGTATCCTGGTGAACGTGAAAACTGGGTGAAATAAATGTTATTTACCTTTCCTTTATTTTTCATATTTTAATTGAAATTTGGAGTGTTCTACACGTCAAGTCAATCATTACAAATTTGGTGTGGCTTCCAGAAGTAAAACAGAAGTATTTGGCATCTGAAAAATCTTCCCACCTCCTCAAAAGGTCTCTTTTGATGTTTCTGAGGAAAGCAAATGTTACAGCAGAGACTTGCAAAACCTGAGCGAAAAACAACTAGCATCTTCAGTAAGTGCATAATGAGGGAACTCCAGATATCTGTAACTCAGGCTTAGTCTTCTTAATATAGATGCAATCATTTGACAGAAGTATGCTTGAGATTTGAAGGATTCCTCAGGATTTCTATAGTGGGCAGGATATAACCATGATATTCAAAAGTCAACTGTAAATTCTGTAAAGAGTCTTGAGTATTGGTGAAACATATTCACATTACGAGATTTCAATACACAGTCTGAAGAAAGCCTAATGTATAGGAGTCATGCCTAGCTTCATAAGAAAGAAGGTGAAGCAGACAAAGAACCATTTGTTTCTTAGAATGGTTGCTCTGGGGCAGAGATACTCAAATACCATAGGAATCTGGTATACCATAGGAACACTAGTATCAAACGTGTATAATGGATTCAAATTCACAGAGTAAATATATCAAACAAAATAGTTTATTAGGTATTTAATAATAGTATCACACCAAATATTGTTAGACTGTGGATATGAACAGGATTGTCTGACTGCTGGTTATGTATCACGGCACTTTAGCATTGATTTCAGTCGGTCTTGTCTTGCTGTAGAACCACAAGCCAGATCCAATTTGGATACTTTGTAGACCAATCTCCCATAATTATCAGATAAATATACTGATTGCTATGTTATACAAAGGAACATTTCTCCTTAAAAAACAGCATAAAACATTGTGCAGGGTATTCCTGGAAAAAAAAAAAAACGGTCTGAGATTTTGTAGTCTTTCTATGCCTAACAGTGAGAATAAGATGTCATGCAACTGGCTCCTAGGAAGATCCAAAGTAATTCATTTCCTTTGTGAAATTATGTTGCTGACTTCTTAAAATATACATCACATTTTCCATCATATGAAATTGAGTACATAAATTATTTGTGCAAAATCACATTATTGCTATATACATAAACAGGAGAATTTTGGACAATTTTGCTGCTTTTCAGGAGGTCACTCTCTCAATCTGAGTCACTATATAGGCTTTTTTCCTGCCAAAACAATTAGCTAAACCACTTCTATGAGATTTGTTGTCCACTAATGTAATTTGCCTTAAACAGAGAAGGGTCAGTATTATGTTTGTTTTGTAACATGATGTACCAAGATCATCTTTAACAAATGAGAAACACTTTAAAAAAATAATTGTTTGAGGCCTTAAACAGTTCATTCACTGAATCATTTTCAACTAAAGATAGCAGAAAACCAAAATCTTTTACCTTTACCCAATCCCAAAGCACTCATCTGGCATGGATCCCTTTTTCTGTACTGAATTACATGAAGTTAATCCTCCACCAGCACTAAAACTGCTTACTGAAGGGCCTTCTCATGATATATCTGTGAATATTTTAATAAAGAAACTGTACAAAATTGGCAGGACTCTTAATTTGTGGACTAGGCTTGGCTACTTAAAAAAAAAAAAAAAAAAAAAAAAGAGTTGTAACACCTTTACATCCCCAAAAAATAGTAATATTTGTGCTAATTAACTGGAGTATGCAAATTATTTGTCTTCTTGCTGGAGTATCCCTGTAGTGTATCCCTGTAGTGCTACAAGCAATTAACATCTATAACTATTAAATTTGCTAAGGTAAAAGAATATTAAGAATCTATTTCTTCAGAAATGATCACTCTGAAAACTAGAGGCCAAATTCACACCATCACACGCGTTAAATGCTTTGAGGGCAGAATTTAGCCCCAAACTACAGTTTTCTCTAAATACATACGCTCTTCTACAGAAAAAAAACCAATCTATATCTTACTCATCAGTGCTCTTCCCTTCTGAAGGGTAAATACCGATATTTGAAATACCTAAATTGTATTTACAGCTGTACAACACTGATGTCACATGTGTGTAAAACATTACTTGTACTCTATAAACATGGGCTAACTTATACAACCTGCTTAAAAACTTTTCTTAAAATAAAGAGCCAGCAAGCTTACACGTTTTCTTTATCAAATTCACACACAAAATACATGGTAATATGACATGCAACGTCATTCCACCCTCCAGATGCCACCATCTCCACACAGTCCTCCTCATCGTAGGCATTGTTGGGCTCCCCACTGCGCCACTTGTTGAAGGTCTGCATGGGTGACCGGTCAGAATAGACAAAATTTCCCTCTTTCTCTAGGTCGTTAATCCCAATGAAAACTCTGGTGAGCCCAGCTTGGTTGATGTACGAGGCAATCAGATTGTTGGCATTCTCATCCTTGGGCATGCTGAGCGTCCCTCCTCTTCCATGGCAGTAGAGCTGGGCTTCCTTGTATCTTTTTTCTTCCTTCACCAGCAGATAAATCTTATTATCTGTCTCACGCACACCAGCAACAGCTGCGGGGGAGGGCAGTGCTGAAAAGTGAGCACTCGCATTTCTATAAACCAACTTACTGTACACCCCAAAATAACTTCACAAATCCAATGCATGGCGATACTCTCTACGAGCAATTCACCATTAAAATGTAGCAATGAGAAAGGAAAATATATAAAGTTAGCCTACCATTTTTAATGAATTTTAGTTCTGTCGTCAGCTGGGCCACTTGGATATCCATTTCACCAATAGCCTTCCTTAGCTGGCTACACTCACAGGGGATGCCTACGAAATGAAACAGACGTGCTGAAGTCAAAATGGTGTTTAAATTCAGTAATTATCTAAATAACTTCATGAAAAGGCCCAGCTGGGCAGCCCTAGGGGACGTCTGCTTCACAAGTAATGGTCTGAAACCTGTAGCCTTTGCTAATACGTGCCATCATGATTCTCACAGTTGTCTGAATCTAATCATGACATCTCCTTCCTCTGAAACTTCAGTTCTGTGTAACTAGGGCTAATCTGAACACAGAGAGATATCCCATGTCAAAAAACAAAACAAAACACTAAAAATGTTTGTCAAAACATCATATTTGGGTGAAATTATCATCTTCGGTCTTTTCCAAAAAGCACTTTATACAGAGCAAAAATCTACAGTTTCTTGTTCACCTGTTCCTCATAAGGAATCTAAAACAGTAGATCAAAAAGGCTAATGTTCTAACCATGTAATGCACATAATTAGCTGTAAAATGCAATTCTGTACTTTTCAAATACAGAAGTTACTGTACTTCTTCCAGTCAAAGAATAGAAAGACATCTATTATGTCAAATTGATATTGATTTGACAAAGATAATCTGAACGAGAATACTAAAAGGATAATTGTTACTTCTATGAGTTCAGATCTCAAAAAGAGAATAAATTACAGTTTCCAGTTCTATATGCAATTATTCAAATCTGCATTTAACTGCGCAATTACTCCATGTAGATACCTAAGTCTAAGTGCCATGTAGTTGGACTATAAGACTGCCCTTCAAGACAATACCTGGCTCAAGAATTGAGTGACAAATTATGTTCTCATAAGAAAACTAACTGATGCACCTTTAGTGCTCTCTGCTAGGAAGAAACAAAAATGGGCAAAATCAGGAGCCACTTTTCTAAGGCTTACATTTTTTTTGCCAGACTTCCACCTTTTCTTCTGGAGGACCTTTATTCCTGCTAAGCTCCTGCAATGATACCCAGTGGAGGGGCATGATCTTCTGACCTGCTCCTTTGTGTTGGCTGGAATCCTGAGCAGACTATACAGAGATTTCCCCTTCCATTAGTGGTGAATGATACTGAGAGTTGCACTTCATTCCCACTGTATTCACCAAACCTCTGAGTAGCTCTGAGACACTGTTTGAAAAAATACACTACATGTCCAGCAACTTCGATATTATTTTTTTTTTTTTTAAGTAATTTGAAAATATCACTGTGAGGAGGAGCTATCTAAATATTTATTTATCATGATTTTTCTCAGTATTTTAAAAGACACATTTTTTGTGATGATGCCTGCATGTTCTTAAATCCTTCACATCGTAGACAAAGTATGTTATAGGTTACCTGGGTCACCATTAGGACCTGGTGGTCCTATGTCACCATTATCTCCCTTTTCACCTAAAATATGAAAAAGAATACAAATTTAAGGAGGCTTTTTCACTAATAGCTAAACACTTTTTTTTTTTTTTTTTTCTCCCTCTAGTAACAGGCAAGTGTGGAAAGTAGAAAAATGCCCAAGGAAGAATAAAAATGCTTCTGTCCCAGTCACTCCACAAAAAAGGCAAACCAAACCTATGAATGAAAAGAATATGTACTGATATCACTTTCTTTTTTGTGAACTTCACAGAAGCAATAAATTCAGATCTTGTAGACGAAAAGGGCCATATACACTATATTGCAATCTAAATCTAGATTCATAATCCAGATGCTTAGGTAAACATGGTTGGTCCAAATGACCAACCCTGTGGCGTATGCGAGATTAGAATTCAAGTACTGCGGTTCCTAGAAGGATACCAAAATACAGTGTCTTCCTACCTACTCCTCTTAACTGTCCACACTTATCTGTTAGGATGTGAAGCTCTTAATTTAACCATAAACCAGGATGCTCAAATCTTAATGCTTCTATAGAACAAAAAGTAACTGCTCAACAGATCTCAGCCAATAAGTAATATCTCATGCTGCAGTCAGCCAGCTATGATGAAGTCTAAGAGTAGCTAACCAAACACAGATGATAACATTTTTTCATCTAAAACACAAATGGAGAGGCAATTGCACGGAGCATACCTTTTGAACCAATAGGACCAATTTTTCCATGCCGTCCCATGCTGCCTTTCTGTCCTTTGTCTCCCATTTCTCCTACATGTACCAAAAGACAAAACACATTAACAGTATATTCTGATTAATTCAGATTCCAGCATATTTGCAATACTAGATTTTTCAGTGAAGAAATATACGCTCTAAACCCAACATTCATTGAACTTCAGAAGTTCAATTCACTCCAGGTGACATTAAAGCAGTAAGCAGGTGCAAATGAAAACAGATCTTGGCTGAGATCCACTGGAAAAACATTTTACAAACTTCTATCAGATGATCATGCCAAAATAATGTTGACAGTAAGGGAGGATCCCATCAAAAACATACGGATCAATGTATTACAGAGTTGAAAAGACCTAAGGGGTCCAAGCACAACAAATAGTTGTGAAGTAACTCCACTGCAGCTGAGTTATAGTAAGGCTGAATTTGGGCTTTGTTGCTTAATTTTTCCATAGCAGTCGCATCTTCATTCTTTCTTACATTTGAAGACTATATTAAAGAAAAATGAAAATGAATGGAAGTCATATTTGAGCACACGCACATGCTTGTACAAATGTGAAGTCTGATACAAAACAGAAATGTTAGATGTTACTAATTTTAAACATGCTTCAGTAGAATATTTCAAACAGCACTTGTAGCAAAAAAAGCTATTCAAAAATCATTTTTCTTAGCTGTGTTTTTACAAATTAAAACCAATCACCCCCCTCTCAAGGTGAATTGAAATTGTCAGAAAATCTGCTTGAACCAGCCGCAGCCACCTATCTGTATACATCCCTGACGTATAGCCAGAAATCCAATGTAAGACAGCCTGATTCACTTACTACACCTGACTTCAGCCTCTTTTCTATGAATTGTACCTTCCTTTGCAATATGAAGCAAATATTAGAATGGCTTCAGGAGAATTTGCAGTGGAACAGACAGTTTCTTTCCCATCACTGTCTTTACAGACCAAGCAGAAGCATTGCTACTAATAAAGTGTGTGCCACAGTCCAAGCATTGATGTAATAGAGCTGAGCTCCTCCAGAGCTCAAATGATAAAACAGATGAAACCTGCCTGTTACATCATGCAGCTTTTCTGTATGCCATTTCTCAAACATTATGAAAAATAATTATGTTAATGACGTAAATCTGAGAGAACTTAGCCTATAATAGCAAAGCCTCATTCTATCCTTTTTTCCTTGCTTTATGTAGACTTTCTGAGACCTACAGAATGAGAACTGGCAGTCTGTTACAGTGACTATTTAGCAAATTTGTCAGTTTGCCTAATTCTGCTGCTACTATAGCCTTAAGGAGACTCGGGAAACAATGCTATATCTCCATGTATGTTGGTGATACTCTTTCCTGAGTGAATCAATGCTCTGCCATTCAGATTTAAGCCTCTTTGTATCATAATGTCAAGAAGAAACATGGCTTAGAGGCTGCAGAGCAGTACAACTACATCATATGAGGTAGATTCCCTACTGTACCACACAACATTAACAGAGAGAAGGGATGGAGGGACTACAGAGAGAAGAGATGGAGGGACTACAAAGAGAAGACAAATGCCTCCTGAAGATCCCATGTGAAGAAACACAAGACTGAGACTGCTTTAGGAAATATGGAGGCAGTTGTTTCAGTTAAGACTGTTTTTCTGGTGTTTTTTTTTTCTTTTGCTCAAAGCAATGCCTGTTATGCACTATCCTGCTATAAAAGACCAAGGAGAAAATCAGATGTGTTCAGAGGAAAATCTACCACAAGGATCTATTAACTGAAACTCTATAAACTGTCATTGCTCAGCCTCAGTTCTGGAACTACAACTGAAGATCTGTTGTCAGGATGCGGGATTCAATGCACCAGGACAGACAACTGCTTAATTTCTACACTTTTAAAACTGGATAATTTTATGACTGACTTCATCATTACCTTTAACTTAATGACATGTTTCAGAATATAAATTGATTACCACCGGAGATGTCTTCCTCATTACTATAAAAATTCTTAAGCAGCCATCAGCCGAAGGCATATGACTCAGAAAGAGGTCAAATGAGAAAGGTCAAAAGGACGTGGTGGAAAAAATGAACAGGAACCAGCAGTGTGCTCCTGCAGTTCAGAAGGCCAATGGTATCCTGGGCTCCATCAGACAAGGGGTGGCCAGCAGGGACAGGGAGTGTCCCTCTTTACTATGCCCTCATGAGGCCCCATCTGGAGTACTGGGCCCCCAGTACAGAAAAGGTGTAGAGTTGTTGGAGAGGGTCTAGAGGAGGGCCACTAAGATGATCAGAGGACTGGAGCACCGCTCCTATGAAGACAGGCTGAGGGAGCTGAGCTTGTTCAGCCTGGAGAAGAGAAGGCTGCAATGAGGTGTCCTTGCATCCTTCCAATATTTAAAATGGGATTATAAATGGAGGGGAATCACCTTTTTACAGGGGTAGACAGTGACAGGACAAAGAGGAATGGTTTTAAGCTGAAGGGGGGAAGGTTTAGCTCGGATGTCAGGGGGAAGTTCTTTAGTATGAGAGTGGTAAGGTGCTGGAACAGGCTGCCCGGAGGAATCTGTAGATGCCCCAGCCCTGGAGATGTTCAAGATCAGGTTGGATTGGGCCCTAGGAAACCTGGTCTAGCACCAGATCCAGAGGTTGGTGCCCCAGCCTGTGGCAAGCGGGTTGGAACTGGATGATCCTTGAGGTCTCTTACAACCCAAGCCATTCTATGGCCTGTTGGTCTAATTCACCTGGCAAGTCCTACAATCAGTTTTCCTTTGTTTCCAAAAAGGATCAGATTCAGTCTCTACTTGAATTTTTATCTTCAAGACCACAAAATTGTTCTCTTATTCATTATATTCTTACTGAAAGAATGGAAATAACCCACTCAGCTGCTGATTTACTTTCTGGATATTGCTTCAGTCTCAGAATAGATTCATGGTTTGCTTCAAAGACATATTTCCAAGGAATTGTGCAGATTATAAAAATACTGACTGCAACTAGTGGATATTTATCCAATAGAGATAGCATAGCCAGAAAGTATTTCCTTGAAAAACCTCAAAAATATTCCAAACTTCCAAATTGGGATTACAGTAGTAATGTCAGACGCTATATTTGAAATGAAATAAACATATGTCTATAACACATAAATGAAATATAATATATAAAAGGACATCACATTCTTTCTCATAAATACTGCCCAGAAGATGAACAACTTACAGAGCAATTGCCAATAAGAACTACATGATCTGCTCAGAAGTAAAAAGTGTGCTACCTCAAACAACAAAGACATACATTAAGTCCCTTGTGCTCATTAAAGAGGTGTTTGGATTAGCTTTTCTCTTACAGTGAGTAACCCCAGCTTCTACTCCAGGGGCTTGCTTATTCTGCTTCTTCTGCAGAATAAATCAGATAGCTTCAAGAGAGACCCATCTGCCTTGAGGGTTTCAAAAGTTTTAAAACCTTTTAAAAAGTCCTTTTCAGTGGCCCTACGATTGCCAAAAATGCAGCCTAAAGAGTCTTAATGAAATCAGGAAGTGAGAGCTGGAAAGAAATGAGGACAATGAAAGAAATTAAGTCTCCATAGACCAAAAGTAGGAAACTTCACTGAGAGTTTGAATGGAGAATACGAAGCAAGTCATCTGTCATCTCTCAGATGAAGGTGATATACATTGGAACCAATTATAGAAGACTTAAAGGATTTTAGGGGGAACTGAAGAGAAAGGAACTCTAATTGATCTTCTTGTTGGCCTTGTCAGTTTCACAAACAAGAGAAGAAATAATAACCAGAGATGAATGGTGGGCTGCACAACCGGTAAAAAGATGAGGGCTTTGGCTCAGTGCAACACTATAAAAGGGGTGTTCATACAGTATGGCCAATTTCTTCAGATAGAACTAATTGGAACAGAAAATAGGGCATAAAACTACTTTTAAAAAAGAAGGTGCCAGAAAGAGAAATCTAGTAGAAACTCAAATTCACCATTTCACAGCTAAATTGAATTGAGTCGTGTCAAAGAGAAAAAGAGAATAGTAGTTTACTTCCCAAACATGAGGGACAAATTCTTTATGATTTGACATAGTGGATATCACAAAGATCTACTCTGCAGCATAAGAGTCCCAAGCCAGACCTAAACTCTGTCAGTTCCAGTGCCATCTTTGACAGCAGTCAGCAGAAGATATTTACAAAAAGAACACAGAATAAAAAGAATAAATAAAATATATATTCTATATTTTAGACATATCTTATATATTTAGACATATATTTTGACATATTTTGACTCGTAAATATACATTAAGCAGTGTATCCCTAAGGTCCCTATTCTATATATTTACTTACACTGAAGCCTATGTTGAAGCCTATTTTGTCCACCCCGTTTAGTAGTTTAGTTTTCTCAAAATCCTACTGATTTCAGTTGGATTTGGAAGATAGTTTTGAATTAGATACCCACTTTGTGAATCCACAGCTGCCAATGTCAGGACTTTTATATGGAATTCTGCCTGCAGCGCTCCTTAGCGAGCAATAAATTCATGTAAAAGTTGACTCCAGAATGTAAGGGATTGATTGATTACGTATTAATGAGCAATCAGTAATATTAAAATATAAATTAAGACGTTATTACCTCTCCTTAGAACTTGATTATACAAATGACTGAGCACTCTGGATCCAATCCAGTTAAATTAATGACTCCCCTCTCATACTTAGAGGCTATGTCTGTACTAGTAAACTAAATGCCTGGGACTGCTCCCCAGCACTGGGAACCAGCTGGCTGAGAATGGTGCACTCCATAATCCTAAATCATCTTTCTCTTCAAACTAAGGTAATCAGTTGCAAGCTGTTCATTGTGTTAGTTCCCAGAACATGTCTGAGAATTGTCTGGGAAAACATTAGCTGACAAGCTGAAAAAGAGCCTGGAGCATCTTCCATACGAGGAAGGGCTGAGTAGCCTGGGTCTGTTCAGCCTGAGGAAAAAAAAACAACTGAAGTGGGATCTGATAAATGTTTATAAATATCTAAAGGGAGGTGGGAGGTAAATGGATGAGGCCAGGCTCTTGGTGGCATGTGGCAATAGGACATGGAGCAATGGCCTCAAACCTGAACATAGGAAGTTCCATACCAACATGTGGAAGAACTTTTTTTAACAGTAAAGGTGATGGAGCACTGGAACAGGACGCTCAGAGAGGTGGTGGAGTCTCCTGCTATGGAGATATTCAGGACCTGTCTGGATGCCTACCTGTGTGAACCATTGCAGGGAATCTGCTTTAGAAAGGGGGCTGGACTCGATGATCTCTTGAGGTCCTTTCCAACCTCTGCAATTCTGTGAAGTCACACCAGAGGCTGTGTTAACACTGCAGAGGTAGAGACTGTTGGGTCCCATCCCAAGAATATCATATGACTGTGCTTAACGTTTTACTTGATCCAGTGCTCTACACTTTTCATAAGGACAACACAGTTTTATATTCTGCTGACACGCTATGCATCATAATTGACCTATACAATTAATTAAAAGCAACGGCAAAATAAGTGAATTTAACCTTAATCAGTGCCCAAAGACATTGGGATATCTGATGTCACCCTGAAACATTAGGACACACAGAAACAGATTTATTTCAAGAAAGCATCAGAAAGTTTTAATGTTTATGAGGGTCTGAATTACTAAAATATGACAATATTATGAAGAAAGAATATGATGGAAACATTTGCAGCACCTTCTAATTCTGAAGTGTTCGTTGCAGGTCAAATGTACAAAAAAAAACCAACCCTTTCTTATGTATTTTATTTATTCACTGACTATTGTACTTCTAAATTCAAGAAACTAAGCAAGTTTCCTTATAATGAACTTGCCTAAGAAACAAAACTGAGGAAGGAAAGTGAAAAAAAAAAAATGCTGTGATTCTGATATTGTAAATTAACACCAAAACAGAAGAATTATAATCTTTCCCTCGTGTAAGCCAGCACTTATTCAAATAGTAGTGACATACAATGAAATGTAGCAGTTTCTATCCATAGAAGGAGATGAATACTACCCCAATAACACATCAATTATCAAGCTTCAATAAAAATATGCTTAAAAACTACAGGGGGCCATATGCATTAACATCAAGACTGAAGTTTAACAGCATACTGAACAGAAACAGAGCTTCTGTGATCATCCAAGTGTGCTCACAGAATGGGACAAATGGAATGTGAGACAATAGTATTATTCATCTTTCATTATTGACTAAGCTATGTGTTAAGTATCTGGATCATGAGACTAAGCTTTATACCAACTGCGAGTTTAAAATAGTTAGCCAAGACTATCAAGGGCATTAGTGTTATATGCCCAAGAGGACAAAAACAGTGCTAAAAGGAAAAGCCAATAGCAGATCACAAACGGATATTTGATAATCTGCTCAGGAACAGATGCTGAAGTGGTTATTCCTGATAAAACTATGGTGAAATTTCTTACTATACTAAAATGAAGCATTTACTAAATATTACAAGTCTATACACGTGTCAAGTCAAATTTGGATGAGCAAGAAAAAAGCAGAAAAAATGCGGCTACAGAAACAGTAAGGATTATTGTACTGAAAGCGCTCCCTGGAAAAATGTGATATAGAATGCATTAATATTCAATTTTGTTTCATCTCTTTTCTGTTTCATGAACATTTCTCTTGCAGTGAACATTCACTTCAATGTTTCTTCATCCATTCACGTCAATATTTTGGACATACTGACATATGAAAACTGGAAATTTCCAATTATTTATCTAATTATTCTAATTATTAGAATTGAGCTTTCCTTAGAATGATTTTCTAAGTAAATGCAATATTGCATATAAAATTATGTAAATGAAATGTTACATTGTGGAATTGATTCAACAAAATGCAAAGCTCAAAGAAATATTTAAGACCGTGCAATGGGAGAGATTCTCCAAGTCCCCATGAAAAAGGTGATATGACCACTTGCCCATCTGAAATACCAGTGAAAAACGGTCATAACCTGGGAAACAAACAGGAGAAACTGGGAGTCTACTTAATGACATCAGCCACTCAGATATGATGGGACAACAAGCACAATGGAAGCACACAGGTTATGCTGGGCACAGAGAGAGGCTAATAAAAAACAATATGGAAGTACTCCTTAGGTATTTAGGGATGAAGTGAGAAAGGAAAAAGTTCAGCTGGAGTTGATCTTGGCTGGGTATATGAAAATAGCTTGAAACACAGTACAGGTAAAGCAGCAGTAAAAATCAGACTGAGGATAGCACAGGCACTCTGATTGGAAGGAAACAATGATAAAACAGATGGACAATGCTGAGATACTTGGTACCTTCTTTGCTTTTGTTTTTACTGGCAAAGTGTTCTACTGGATCTCACATCTGGTGACAGAAAGTGGGGAGGAGATGCTACCCATGTTAGCCGACAATTGAGTATACTTAAGTTGGACACACATCCATAGCACTGGTGAGAAGGCATCCAAGGGTGCCAAAAAATTCAGCTGAGCTGCTGCAAGGCCGACAAAATCTAATCAGTAGCTGATTATGAGTGCCACTCTTCAGGAAGTTGGTCCTGGGACCAACAGTGTTTAAAATCTTCATCAGCGACAGGAAGGAGTGGAAGGCAGCCTCTGTGAGTCTGCTGGCAATCCCAGGAGTGGTTAGTGTGCTGGAGAGTAGCGATGCCAGTCAGATGACATTGACAAACTGCAAGAATTTGTTGACAGGAAATTCAGTCAGACCCTGAAACGCTCCACACCTGGGATGCATAGGCACACTTTGGCCAATGGCTGCCTAGAAAATTGCCATGCGGAAAAGGACCCAGAGATTTTTGCACCTTCAAATAAGAGAGAGAAAAAAACTGGAGTCCAGCTGAAGAAAATCCTTTTATTTAGCCTAAAGAAGACTTTAAGGGGGGAAAACTAATTTCATTCTTCCACTACAGGAAGTTTGCAGAGAAGATGCACCTTTCTCTTCTGAGAGATACATAGCAAAAGGACGAGAGACAATGATCACACATTGCAAGCAAGAAAATTTTGATTGACCTTAAGGAACACATATTTCACAACAAGACTGGAGAGCAAGCCAATCAAAAAGATTGTGGAATCTCCATCCTTTGAGATTTTCAGAAGTCAGCCAGACAAAAGCCTTGAGCAGTCTCATCTAAATTTGAAGCCTGCCCTGCTTTAAGCAGAAGATTGGACTAGAGACCTCTATATGACCTTTTAACCAAAGTTATTCTGTAGTACTTTTACTTCTCTTCATGCTGCATTAACCTGCAGGAGTTAAAATTTTAGTTTCCAAAATTTTTTATGACAGTTGTCCTTGAAGGCTACATCTCCATAAGGAAAGTACACAGACTTAACACACACACACACACACACACACACACACACACACAC